TTCTTAAACACTCCACCTGCAGAGCTTAGCTCCTGAGCAGTTTTGTACCTGGATTGCATAAGGAGGAATTATTTAGTTATCTCATTGCAAAAGACAGTTAGCCACACCTTATGGTTATATTGAATGAAGTTTAGTTAGTACAACAAACAGTTTTATCATTTTACTCAGTTTCTTTACACCAAATTTCACAACTAAACTGTTCCTCTTCCATAATGATTCAATTGGGGTAAGTATGACACATTTCTTAAATGAGAACAGATTTAAAATTATGTTGCTTTATGGCTTTGCACTATTTTTTGCAGTACTGAAGTCTTATGTTACTCCTTGTTTATACCAGTGTGACAAAACTGACAACAATTGTATGGTAGATGATACATATATATATAATACAAGTGAGTGCAAAAGGTTTTAGGGATACAGCTGTGAGAGAAAATGAAGGAATAGAGTTGATCTTGGATGTTATTGCACAATAAGTATGTCTCATTCAGAAACAAAGTCAGTTTCTCAGAAAACTATACACGTGTAGTATTTGTTTTCCTCAGACTACTGAAGAATCAGCAGTAATCTGAAAGATTTGAAAACTTTGCACTATCAAAAACTCCTCTAAAACCCCAAATTCACTATTTTTGTATATATACACACATAGCTACAGGCACATATATGTAGTGCGAACATATAATACACAAAGAAAATCATCAAAGACTACTGAATGGCACTTCAAAATTACATTTCAGAATGTTAATAAGGGGAAAGAAATATCTTCATTTGTCACAAATCTCTTAAAATAAGAGATTAAAATGCATGTCCTGAAAAACAACAGAATTGAATTGATCATAAAGACTTCTGGGATATTCAATAATGAATATGAGCATGTCCTTAATGTATAATGAACATTTTGGAATTCTTTTGTTCATAGATATCTTAAGAGAAAAAATGACAAAAGGGAAGAATTCTGCTAATACTAATGAGAAAAATAAATAAATACCTTGCTTTTAGAAGAAATACAAGAAAACTAGAATAGAATGGAAGAGAAATTAAACAATAAGTATTCTTCCAGATATGGGTGTGGATGATGGTGAGGTTTCTTTGTTGGTTGCTTGTTGATTTTTTTTCTTTCTCTTCTTTGTTCCTTGGTATTAGAGAAATAGTGATAGCAAGTACTATATGTGAAAGGTTTTTATTTCCTCTGAGGGAGACCAGCTCTGTGGATGTGTGAAACAGAGTGGGAAAATAAAACAAACAAAGAAAAAAACTTCTGGAAAATATTAATGAGTCTCTGCCTTTATTGCAACGTAGGGAATTTATTCAGCTGCATAAATTAGTGTAAATTTCAGCAATGTTCTCAAAGGTTTGCTTAGCGGGTACTATGTATACCATTACATACACTTGCAATAGCAAACATACTGAACTGCTTACCATAGGTACCTATATGACAGATAGTATTTTGAAAATGAAAGAAATACCATTGAACACATCTTTTTTTTTTTTTTTTTTTTTTTTAGCAGGGATGGTGTTTGTTTTGAATTTTTTTTTATGTCTCTTAGACAAAGCTTCTCCTGGAAAACAGAGTGAAAACTGGAAACAAGTCCTGCAAGTCCCAGATGATTTTTATTTGTTTTTAAAATTGAGACGAAAAATGTGTCACAAGTCTGGCGTATCCTAGTTTTAAATTATATTTAATTCCTTAACACTATCACAATAAGCTGATTTTGAATTCTGTTATGATAGAACTACAGTTTTATAATATTCTTCATACATTTATATTTCTTTATTTTTCAGAAACCTTACACAAGGATAGAGCCTAGGAATAGGCTCTACTATACAAAACATATACACTTCTTTACTAATAGTGACTAGTTCACAATTAGTCATGCAATATAGTTAGTGCCCCAAAGATGCAACTGTTACACAGGGTGGGAGGAGATAATCAACACAGAGGAATTTGAAGTAATAGAACCATAGAACAGCCCAAGTTGGAAGGGATCTCAAAAGATCACCTGGTCCAACCTTTCATGCGAAAGGGAGCTGAGCTGTATCTAGCACCCTGTCCAGTCACATCTTGAAATCTTCCAGTGATGGACACTCTACCACATTCCTGGGGAGGCTGTTCCAGGGAATGTTTGTTCTTACTGGAAATAAAAATCTTTCTTATGTTGAGATGAAACCTCTCCCAGTACAACTTGTACCTGTTTCCCCTTGTCCTATCCATGTGAAGAGAGAGCCTCTGTCCTCTTTGTAGCTATCCTTTAAGTATTGGAATACTGTGATGTGGCCCCGCCTGAGCCTTCTCTTCTTCAGGGACTAACACCTTCAGTCTTTCCTCATAGGGCAGGTTCTCTAGCCCTTTGATTATCTTCATGGCCCTCCTTTGGACTCTCTCTGGTCTGTCTGCGTCTCTTCGGTGGTGGGGACAAGAATGGATACAGTAGTCCAGCTGCAGCTTGACAAGGGCTGAGCAGAATGGGATGACAGCATCTCCATCTCTGCTCCTGCACATGCAGCCCAGGATCCAATTTGCCTTTGCTGGTGTAGCGGCGTGCTGCTGGCTCATGTTCAGCTTGTTGTCCACCAGGACCAGAAACAGCGTGGTCAGCTAGGGAAGTGATCGTCCCCCTGTACTCAGCACTGTCACACCTTGAACACCGTCTTCAGTTTTGGGGTCCTTACTACAAGAAAGATGTGGAGGTGCTGGATCTTGTCCAGAGAAGGGCAACGAAGCTGGTGAAGGGCCTAGAGAACAGGTCCTGCATGGAGTGGTTGAGGCAACTGGGGTTGTTTTATCTGAAGAAAAGGAGGCTGAGGGGAGGCCTTGTCACTCTCTGCAATTAACTAAAAGCGATCTCTTCTCCCAAGTAACAAGAGATAGGACAAGAGGAAACTGCCTCAAGTTGCACCAGGGGAAGTTTAGATTGGATATTAGGAAAAATTTCTTCACTTAAAGGGTTGTCAATCATTGGAACAGGCTTTCCAGGGAAGTAGTTGAGTCACCATCCCTGGAGGTATTGAAAAGACATGTAGATGTGGCACTTAGGGATATGGTTTAGTGTTTGCACTTAGCAGTGTTAGGTTAACGGTTAGGTTAAAGGTCTTTTCCAACCTAAACAATTTCATGATTCTATGAGTCTCTGACCCCTGGTCCCTTTCAGCAAAGTTGCTACCCAATCACACAGATCCTAGCCTGTACTGGGCTCTTTGGTTATTCCTTCCCAGGATCTTGCACTTGTCTTTGTTAAACTTCATACATTTCTTGCTAGCCCACTCTTCCAGCTTGTCTGGGTCTTTCTGTCAGATGGCTCTCCCTTCTGATGTGTTCACCTCACCACTCAGTCTGGTGACATCAGAAAACTTGTGAGGGTGATTTCAATCTCATTTATGAAGATATTGAACAGCATGGGGCCCCATATCTATCTCTGGGGGATCCCACTTGTGACAGACTGCCAGCCTGAGCAAAAACCATGGATCACCACCGAGTGTGCCTTGTTAACCAATTCTGTACCCATCTCACAGACCAGCCACACAATCTGTACCTTGCTAGTTTGTCCAGGAGAAGGCTGTGCAAAACAGTGTAAACACTTTAATGAAGTCCAGGTAAACAACATCCACTGCTCTCCCCTTGTCAATGGAAGATGTCAAAGAAAGTCAAAAGAAAAGAAAAAAAGAAACTCAAAAGTGAAAAGAAGTGAAAGCTAGGGTCTGGAAGCTTTATGACAATGAGAGGAACTAGACTAAAAGGATGGGAATTTGAAGTGATTTTAAATTTTCTCAAGCTAGACAGAGACATTAATGCAAAACTTATGAGTAATTTACAATGATTTTTTTCACCTGTTGCGTTTGTGTGTTTTTTGTAATGTCCATGCACAGTTGCAGAAACTACAGTGTGATCTTAGTCACCTGATGTGTCGAATTACTTCAGTTTTATTCCCTCTGCACAGGAAACAGAGCTTGACCTTTCTGGTGATGTATGCTGCTTCCACTCTACTGCCAGAAAGCAACACTAAAATCTTAATTAAGAACCAAGACCAATATTGTAATTAAATGCAATTAGAAAATTATTTCCTTGAACATGGTCTGAATCACTTCAAAATGTCTCGTTGCACTTCTGATAGAAAATTATCTTTTCCAGCTCAGTTTTTACTGATTAGTGCTGTTTGTCATCACAAATGTGATAGTACAGGGAACTTTGGCCCTTTCTTGCGTGTTCAAGAAAGTCCACTTTCTTTACTGAACAGATTATGACTTTCCTGGAGAATAAAGAAGTACTCTAACAAAAACTTTATAAACATGTATTGTGCCATCTTATCCCGGAAAACATAACCCAAATTTCAAGCTTGCCTAGTCCTTTTGTTACACTGAGGGAAATGAGGAGGGGACAAACAGAGGGGAATATACACTTAAACAGTATCAGATTTGTTCCTTAAACAGAAGTCAAACTGCACTCATCAATTTAATCTGTGAAGGGTCACTTACTAACTATATTGTAAGTTCTGATGATTTTAACATGATTCATACAATGAAATACAATACGAGGCTTAAGTTGCCAGACACAAGTCATAAGAAAATCTCAATTTTAATTTTTTTTCTTCACTAAAGTACTAGCTGAAACACCGCTTGTTTTTCTTGCTTGCCTTACTTGGTTTTGGAGTGAGTTGTCTGCCTTATGTCACAATCTCCATGAGATCAACAGTTCTCAGAGGATTTTCCATTAACACATTATTTGCTGAATCACAGTGCCTATTTTCCAGAGTTCGTTAAGTAAAATAGTAACAAATGACACATGGTTCATTCTTTTCCCCTGCCTCTTTCAAGATTAAATGTCTGTTTGAGCCTTTCATAGTGTAAAAAAAAAAATTCTCATATTTTGAGAATACAGTGTAGACGATTCGGCCAAGGCATAGAAAGGTTTTTGGTTGCAGGACATTTGGATGTAGTTGCACTGACTACCTTTGTCCCAAACATATTAATCTTTTGAGGATTCCTCTGGGATCTATAGGCAAGAAAGAATGGAAGATAATCCAGAGAGTCAGATTCCAGCAATAAATTATCAAAGTGAATGTGTTCCCATTGTAAAAAGGCTATATTTATAAAATGGATATGGATTGATATTTATAATGGATTAATATTTATAATATTTATATGTATTCTAATATAGGATTTCACAGGTTTTAATAAAAAGGAATTACTCATTTTTTTAAAAGAAATTTGGTAACATATGCAATATTTAATCTCTTTGCTACACTGTCTTTTTGTAATTTTTTTATATGTGTACAGACCTACCTATACAACTGCAGTTTTCCCCAAGTTAATAAAAATAAACCTTTGAATGAAGTCAATAAAAAAAAAAATGAAACATGTTCAGCATTTCTTTGTTTTAATTGAGGAGGTATATTTAAAATTACCCTGTCATATTTATTGATATTTTTTTCTTTTTTTTTGTGTGGGTTTTTTTTTTTTTTAAATTTACTTTGAAAAATCTAGCTGGTCACTGTGGTATTCCAGATCTTATAGTCAATGGTCAAGTAATTGGAGAAAATTACGGATATAGAGACACAGTTGTGTATCAGTGCAGTCCTGGTTTTCGGTTGATCGGTTCTTCTGTACGAATATGTCAACAAGATCACAACTGGTCCGGCCAGCTTCCATCCTGTGTGCGTAAGTAAGCATGGCAACACATACTGATTTATTTCACAGGAATGTCTATGTCAGACAAGATGAGGAGTGACTTTGAAGCTTAGTATTCATTTAAAAAAAAAAAAAATTAAAACAGATCCTCAAAAGTATATGGCCACCTAAAATCTGTGATTCATCCATTAGGTGAAGTTTAATGTTGTCACTTGAAATTTCCACTGGATTATTGCATCTTTTGGCTACTAAATACCTGTCATTTATATGTGAGTATGAATTTCTTCAAAAAGTGGGGGTAATTAGGTGCCAAGGTACTCAAATTTGAAAAAGGCTTTACGTCCCTTAGTGACTTTTGAAAATATTTAATGTACATTTACTTTGTCAGTGGTAGTTACATAAGTACATACTCTTGAATTATGCTGTCAGTACTGATGATTAAAATGTTTGTTTCAACAAACTTATGCTTTTTTTTTTTTTTTCCTTCTTCTTCTCACAGAGATATTTTGATTTTGATTTCTTGTTTGGTTTTGGCTTTTCTGGCATGAATTTTGTACTTTGTTAATGAGGCTCCTTGTACGTGATAAGTGTGTCAACATATCACATGAAATACCATTATGTAATAACAGAAAATACTGTATTACATTTGAGAAAAAATGAGAGTTCTTGAAGGATTCTCAAGTAAATTACAACTGTTTCAATAATTTAGGTTCAGTAATGTCAGTGTATTGAAAATGTATTAGTCTGCCTCCAAATATTCTTATATTTTTATAGCTACATTTTTGTAGCAGAAACTATCTGAATGATTCATCATAATACACACTGTTAATTTATTACATTTACTTGTCACTCTTTTACGTAGAACTAGATATGCATGTAATAACATATACATATACTATAATAATTGTATTTCTTAATTTTGTTTCCACTTTATGATGAAGTAATAGATCATTACTTCTTTATATTACACTTCAGACCAACCACTTCTTTATAGGTAACCATTTAGGCAGTAAAAATAGACACCATTAATCAAGAATTTTTAAATTATAAATGTCAATATCAATGTGAGAACTGAAAAATAACCCCCCACAATTGTTTTAGATGTACTAACAGCAGAGAAAATGGACATATTTTCTTCCTCTAGTCAAATGGAAGCTTCTTGTTTCAATACAGGGGTATATGCAATACAGCACTTCAAAAAAAGACACAAGACTTGGGGAAAGTTTAGACTTGCAAAAAGCTGCTATAAGGAGCAACAGCCTTTAACTTTGTGATAGATAGTTAGGAACAGCTCCACTTCAGATCAAAGGTTCAAATGACATGTAGAAAAATAGTCTCACATTTCTTTTTGTTTATTTAACATTAGATGTTTTAATTGAATTGAAATTTAGCTATTGTGACCTTTTCACTTTTTAATTCACCATTCCTCTTGCTTATACAGTTGGCAGATGTATTACTACTGTTGTGTAATGCTACTGTATATGCCTGGGTATTAATCAAAATGTTATGCAAATTTCATACTTGTGTTTTCACAAGAATAATTTTTATTGTTATTATACATATATTAAAAAACATCTCTGTGGGCTTAATGTGTATCTTTGTCTGATGGTTTTACAAATGTTAACAGTTTAGTGTATGATTCCAACTATTCTTTTGGGGAAAAAAATGCAATTCCTTATATAAAAATTTCTGATGCCAGTAACATAGTGATATTAATAGAACATACAGAATTCAATTTAACTTCCATTCATAGAATATACTGTGACTTGTCTGTATGCTATACTAGTTCTTAAGGACCATTTTCTTTTTTTTTTTGGATGTTGCTAAAAATTTTATTTAATTTGGATTATATGAACAGGTTGCTTTTAGAGTTATGATAAATCTGTTCTACATGGAGAAAAAGAATATATATTTGTTAAAACTAACAAAATTAATTTAGAAAAATAATGAAGTTTCTCAAGTGATAAAAATTTGAGAGTTGAATAATTTGTTCTGTGATTATTTTTTTTTTCATTTAAAATTACTGATTAACATTTTATTTATTAACTACTGGCATTTCCTAAAACATAGAAGGAAATATTTATACATTTTTTTAAATTAATTTGTGGTTTATTTTCCTTATTATTTTTGTATTTGGTCTTTGTGGACACCAAAAAGGAACTTTAACTTTTGTAGTCAGTTTTTGTATAAATACAATAAAAGTTTCACAGTATCCATAATGTTTCATATATCCAGTCATAAATTTATAACTGCAGTAAGTACTTAGTCCTCAAAGAGTGAGTTGATATTAAGACATATTTGTAAGAAATAATTCCTGAGGAACTAATGCACTGAAATGTTTCCTTTGAATATCAGACTATATGTAATGAAAATCAAGTGCTTGCTTTTCTCCTGCTTCTTCAGAAAACTTTTCCTCATTTGTCTTGATTTCTGCATGGTAGATTCTATTCAGCTTTTTAAAATAATTAAGTAAGTGTTTCAACCTTTACTAAAATATGTCTTAGTTCTTATTCAGTTCAGAGAAATGTGAATTTTTCATGGAAAGTACTCAATATTTTATAATATCTATAAAAACTTTAAAATACTATTATATATTGGTTGTAATGATTATCTATTATATCATAAATCATGATAAGTGATAACAGCAGGGTCTGTTTGGGTTTTGTTTCTTTGTTTTGTGCAACGCTAGCTGTTAGCTGTGGTCACCCTGGTAGTCCCATTTATGGAAGAACAAGTGGAAACGGTTTCAACTTCAATGATGTTGTGACATTCTCATGTAATATTGGGTATGTTATGCAAGGACCAACCAAAGCACAGTGTCAGGCTAATAGGCAGTGGAGCCACCCACCTCCAATATGCAAAGGTAAGAATGCAAGCATTGACAAATTTCAAACTTAGTTGGAAAATTGAGGTTGAAAAGTATACTGAAGGTAAAGGGAAACTGTCAAGACAAAATGATGACTCTCTTACTAACCGGCATCAATTAAAAATCATTAAAGATGATTTTTGATTTTTCAGTTAGATCTGTTCTACATTCAGAAGGTCACCAGGATAACTGTTGCCGAGAAACTTTCTTATATGTCTATAGTTTGTATTGATTTTTTTTAAAATGGTTTCTTCAAGTTCCTTAAGCAAAATTATGAAGGAGATAATTAAGAGCTTAAATCCTGAAATAATATTCTCTACATTTTTAGCCAATATACTTCTAATAGGTGCATAACAAAACATATATTTTTTTCTTTTTACATTTCCATTGATCTGACTGCTCATCTTGACTTTTTAATTTTTTATTCTAATTTGTTAGCATAATCCATTTGGGTTGGCTCTCAATACTTCTTCATATTATATTTAAAATACAATAAATAAATAAATAAAAGAAAGAATTTATGAGAATTATATACCCCATCAGGACCTATTCTACTCCGAGTGCCAGAGAGGTTTGGGTTCTCCCTTTTTAAGTGTTTTAATTGTACTTGTTTAGAATAATGTACTTTTTGCTGTAACCTACTTGCACATATACAGAAATTGTACTGATATTGTTTTTTCAGCATCTTTCCAGTAACTTCGATGGACTTTTATCTGTACACAGCCTAAGTCATGATCTGTATTTATAGTAATTTTATTTACTATATTTTCCTTCCAATAAGTATCCTCTACTTTCCTTCGATCACTTTGCCTTAAAAAAAACAGGCAAATAGTTTACAGAATTCAAATTTCCAAGGACCTTTTTGCTGATGAAAAGTTATTATTTTTTAAATAGATGATGATGTGTTTACTTGACCAGAGGAGCCTATTGCATGGAAGCTGTTAAAAAAAAGTCCATGACCAATACCAAAACAAGTATTATAATCCTCTTGCCAGACAGATGTAAGTTGCAAAAAAAGAAAAAAAGAAAAAAAAAAAATTAGTCTTCAGTGATTTTCAAACATACGAATCCCAAAGTAGACTCAGAAAATATATCAGTGCTTTTAACCATCAAAGTATACCCATATTTTTAAAAGCACATACCCATTTGTTAGGATATTGCCCTGTTCTAGCAAAATTACCGCAGTGTTGCTTATCCAATCATGTGCCCTTTAGCTCAAAACATCTGCCTCAAAGATGCTCCATTTTCAAAATGTTGGTATAGGAACATAAGTATATTTGCATGGCTGTGTGGGTTAGACCAAAGGCACATCTAGCCCCATAACCAGTTTCCAGCAGCTGTGAGCAATAGTTTATGTCAAGGCAAGAGTATAAATTGAATATATTGGTATGTTCAGTCACTTTTAGTGGCAAATACTTTCACAGCATCATCACACTCTGTGAAGAAACATTTTATTGGTTCTGAGTTTAGCATCTCCTGGTTTTAGAATCTCCTGATTTCATATCATCTTCCTAATTCAGTATCATTATATACAAAATCAGGGTATATAAAAACAGGGTAGTAACACATTGGAAGTTTCTCATAAAAGGAGAGGAGACCATTTAAAGACCATTTTAGTAGACTGTATTTGTATGACTCTTACGTCCATGCTTTTTTTCTTTTTAGTGGTCAATTGTTCTGATCCTGGAATTCCTGCAAATTCCATAAGAGAAAGTAAAATAGAACATGGAAATTTCACATATGGGACAGTAGTATTTTATGACTGTAATCCTGGATATTTTTTATTTGGCTCTTCAGTTTTAATTTGTCAACCAAACGGCCACTGGGACAAACCTCTACCTGAATGCATTAGTAAGTAGATAATGTGTATGCTTCTATAAAGGATGTGAACTAGACTGGGTATTGTTTTACATATTGTTTCTATCGGTCTCATGCCTTTTTATTAACAATGTTCTAAGTTTGCCTTCTCTACAATCATACATAATTAATACTAGATTTTATTTATAAGCAATTGATTAAACATGTAACATGCTAACAAGTGCCCAGTTTGTAAAGCTGACTATTCTGACCATTTTACTGGAAGTCCTGCAAGCCTGCAAAATGGTCACAGGGGTCAGTGGCAGTAGGTAGGAATCAAAGTTAATCAATCACTTACCACATTCCTAAATCCTTTTTTGGGTTACCAGGAAGGTTCTGCACCTTGCAAGTTGGACTCCTAAGAGAACATATGTCATTGTACACATATCAGTGTATGTATAAATGTAAAGCTCGAAGACGAAGAATAATCATTAAAGGAAGATGAATCATCACACATGACTTTGGTCATATGTTGTATTGTACAACCATTATACTGTTGTATATACGTCTGAAGTGCTAGGGAGTTGAATACATCCTCAACTCTGATCAGGCTTCTGATCTGGCTTTTTTTGATAAAATGTCCTGATGAAAATGTTATGGTATTGAAGATGATGAAATATTGATAAAAACTATATGATTTAGGGTGCTGTTCTAATACCCTGATATTTGCAGCTATAATTTGTGATTTTCATGATGCATAAATACAAATATCTTTGGCCAAGATATGCCACGTGCCATGGACAGGTGTAAGATAAAAAGAAATCAGACATGCAAGGCTAGATGTATTCTGTGAAAAGAGTGAATTTGGTTTATGAATTTTAACTGTGCAATTGCTGAATGTGACATATTTAGCTTACTTTTAAATTAACTCCTTGCTCTGAATAAACAACTGATAGGGAATTTATCGATGATCATTTCTAAGACTGGGATCCTACAGAAATTCACTCCAATCTGCACAATTAACATCAATGGATGATCCCTAAGAATACGTTAAAAATATGTAAACAGATATTTTATTTATGCAATACAATATTTTAAGTAACCAAAACCATGAATAGGAAATTAGTATATTAATATTAAGGTTCAAAATTTAGCAGAAATGGGTTTGTTTATAGACCTAATAGACTTCATGACTAATGATTTGGGTCCAGTGGATGAGAGATGAATATCTGCATATTCTCTGCCTCTGAAGAGTACTTGCGTGAGAGTGTGTGTGTGTGTGTGTGTGTTCATGCCATGAAGATCAGCTTAGTGAATGAGTGTCTTTGGACATCAATATGTATATCTAAAATACCTTTTTGATATCTCCAAACGTTTCTTTCACAGCTTTTGGTATGTAATATATTTTGCAGTTCTGATCACATAATGTGCCTCCCTACCCCAAACCCTAAAAAGGTCAGACTGTTCACACAGTTTATGTATGGCGTTAGGAAAATGATAACTACAAACTGTTTGATCAGTGATAATAACCTTTTTTTATCTCCAATAATTATGCATTGTAGTGATTGACTGTGGCCATCCTGGCGTTCCTCCTAACGCGGTCCTGTCTGGAGATAAATACACATTTGGGGCTACTGTTCATTATACCTGTACAGGTAGACGATCGCTGTTAGGGCAGTCATCTCGTACATGTCAGTTAAATGGACACTGGAGCGGATCTCTTCCTCACTGCTCAGGTAATATTTTTGAATTAATGAGTGTGGCCTGAAGTTGTTTTGAATTTATTGTGATTTTGTCAGAAGGACATTTTAAAATCTGAAAAAGCATGTATAAAACTAGAGTAGTATCTCAATAGAAGTAAAAAAGTAAAACCAAAATAAGTAAAAAATCTATTAGCACGAAAAGAATTTGGGAGAAGTAGGCTTTCTCAGTGATATTTAACATGAATAGGAAATTGTACATTCAATAGAATGTTAAAGGAACTGATTTCTTTTGAAAATATTTTCTATATGACTTCTGGAATAAGTATTAATTTCCACAGGGAAACTTTGCATCATTGTCTCTTCAAGATGATGGGTTCGGTTTTTTTATGTTATTTTTTTTTTAACTTGTAAAATATCTGCTGACTTGATGACACCTCAGGTATATCTTAATTGCATAATACATCCATCTTTATAATAGTGCTCAGTGGGCTCCACATAATTTCAGTATAAGATGCTCAGTTTTAAGGGAATACCATATAATACCATCTAATACCATCCTTGTAATAGATTAGTCCTCACCAAAGTGGAGATATGTTTTCTGAATAACTTAATGCTTAGGAATGTTCTGTTTCACTACTTCAGTTTGATTCACTTTAACAGCAGTGATCAAATGAAAAACAGAAATCCAAGTCACACAAATTTGCAGACTTGAGTAAATCCCATTTCTTACCTTAGAGTATGTAAATAAAGATTGTGAGAGAGTTTAATCTTCTTATCAGTTTTAATTCTCAATAAATACTGGGGCAAAGTTCTTTCTTGTCATCCTCATATTTCCATTAAATAGGTTAAAGAAATCATTGGGGTTTTGGACCTTATTTAAACCTATGTAATTCAGAGTGCTTAGGTATCTTCAAAGGCAGAAAACAGGGAGTAAACAAGTGACACATTTTTTCTTGTGTTACAACTATGACAAAACAAGAGGTGAAAAATAACTGATCTGCAAATCTGACAGTACTCCTGTACCAGTTTTCCACTGAAAGTCCAAGTTTTGTTACAGCATTAGTAAATGATAGAATCATAGAATAGTTTGGGTCACAAGGGCCCATCAAAGATCATCTAGTCCAATCCCCCTGCCATGGTCAGGGACATCTTCCACTAGATCAGCTTTCTCAAAGCCCCGTCCAACCTGACCTTGAATACTTCCAGGGATGGGTCTCACAACCCTCTTTGTAAAAAAAAGTCTTCCTTATGTCCAATCTAAACCTATCATCTCAGTTTAAAACTGTTACCCCTTGTGCTGTCACTACAGGCCTTGATAAAAAGTCTCTCTACATCTTCCTCATATATTTTATATATTGAAAGGCTGCAATAAGGTCTTCCAAAGAGCCTTCCCTTCTCCAGGCTGAGCAACCCCAATTGTCGCAGCCTTTTTGCATAGGAGAGGTGCTCCAGCCCTGTGATCATCTTTGTGGCCCTCCTCTGGTCTTGCTCCAACAAGTCCATGTCCTTCTTGTACTGGTAACTCCAGACCTGGATGCATTGCTCCAGGTGGGGTCTCATGTTTTCCAATCCATTTTTTTTCCCCTCCTGCCTTCTTTTCTTCAGTGTATTCAGGTATAAAGTGATTATGTCAGCTACAGTTTCAGAATATGCATTTTTTTTACAGCTCATGTGTGGTGGGTTGA